TTGCTAATATACCTAAGACTTAACCGTTTAAATTAATTGAGATAATTAATTGAAAGTTACTGATTTTATGTTCTCCCTCTCCGTCTCGCTCTCTCTCCCCCCTGTGGCTTTGTCTACGTCTCTCTCCCTCTCCGTGTCTCTATCTTTTTCTTCTTCTACAATTTTTTGTCGGTTTGTCGTTTTGATCATCAGAATTTTGCGTAATTCGTCTTTACTTTTCGTGATTGGAAAGATAAAATTATCGGATTTTGCAGTGGTGAGATGCAGACTAGGGTTGATGTGCTGTGGATATCCGACCCGAGCTTCGTGTGCTGTGATTTCAACGGCGAAAGGTGAAACTTGTCGCAAATCAATTGTGTGCATATGTTTGTGTATGTGTGCGTGTGTGTGTGTTTTTTCCTCTTTTTTTTTTTTGAGAGTTTGTGTTAGTTGTTTCTTTTTGTATCTTAATGGACGGTGTTAAGCTCTTTCTGTACATGGTGATTGCTGCGTATTGCTTGGTGATCCTCATGTCATTGTGTGATTTAACTGTTTGGGGTATTTTGAGTTTTCGAGGAAATACTTGTGGAATTTAGTTTGTGGTGATGAAACTTGGAGTTTTGAGTTTCTGAAAGACAGACTAAAAATTTCATTTCACAAATCACAACATATAAAAACGCAAATACCATTAAAATAGGTAATAGAAAAGCCTACAAGTTCTATTTTTCTTGAATTACTTGACACATTTTATCATGCGAAATACATTGTTCTTGGGTCATGTGACTTGTCTCTGTTAGTAATATCTCATAAACTTTTCAATGATTTCTTTGCTTCTTATAATTAGCATTTTTTTTTTTATTTACTTCAACTTCTATTCTTTTCAAGCTCGTTAACTTGGCCAAATGTTTAACCATTCTATTATACTATGTGGACATCTCATAGAGGTTAGATTTGCATTTTTCCTTGGCCTTTCGGTTAGTTGCTTTCTGTCCCATAGGGCAAGTCACTTCATCAATTTCGTCTACGTCAAAGCTCATATCCCCATCAGATGAAGTATTGCTTGCACCAGACTCATATATTCTCGTCTTTTTTCTCTCAACAAAGAAATCATTAGAAGACCGTTGAGTGTCCATGAGACAATCTTTAAGATTCTCCACGCATGCTCAGGATTGAATGCTACACCTGTCACATCCCATATAGCTATATAGCCAGTAAGTCAGTAAGTTAGTAAAAGCTCGTCAAGTTATAAGGATTAATTAGACATTAATGTCTATTTAATCATTTAATCGAGATAATTTGTTTAGACATTTTAGTTTTTTTAAACTATTTAAAGAGAATTCGAAATTCTTAGAATTTTCGGTTTTACAGTAACCGTTCGTTTTAAGTCCGAATGCGGTTCCGTAAATTTTATTATTCTTGGTTTCTTAGCATGTTCCAAGATCATTATTTAACTATATTATTAGCTCTTAAGAAGCAATATGTTCAGCCAATTTGAAGGAAAAGCCGTGAGTTAAAGATTTTAAGGTTGAGGATTTAATTTTTTATGATGGAATCTACATTAGTTGGAGCATCTTTGATTACCTAAGATATGAGTTGTTAATGAATGATCTAATATGCAAAGTTTCAGCTGAACACAAGCTTCAATTCGGTCAAATGAATGGAAAAATCAAGAGTAGAAAGTTTGATCATTTATTTTAGAGAAAAGTGCATTTTTCGTCCTGTAAGTTTACCCCTCTGAACAATTTAGTCCTCTTCGAATAGCCAATATGAGTTTCGTCCTCTAACTTTAAAAAAAGGTTGCAGATTCGTCCCCGACTCGCCGGAAAACCGTTAATTGGTCGGAAACACGCACGTGATTGAAACTAACGGCTCTTTAAGCCTACATGGAGCCGGATTTTCCACGCTGGCGACCTTATTTACACGTGGAGGACAGAAAATAAACGAAAAAAAAAATCCACGTGCTGAAACACTTCGAAAAGAACCGGGCATAAAATGAAACGGGTTTTCTGATATTGAATCGTTTCCATCCTCCTTCAACCCTATTTTCCCAAATCACAAGATCCCCAAATCTTCAAGAACCCTAATTTTGAAAATTGTTGAGAAAATTGTTGATTTTGTTCTTCCAAATTGTCGATTTCGTTCAAGAACCCTAATTTTCCTTCACCTCCGAAATTTTCCTTCACCTAATTTCATTATAATGTACGGAATTTAGATCCTCATTTCATTTTAATTGTACGAACTTTAAAAAAATGAACCATTTTCACCTCGAATTTAGGGTTTTTCATAAAAAAATGAACATTCCACTGTACGAATTTAGGTCCATTGTGCATACGAATCTGCTTCCGGATGAACATCTTCTCTGGAATCATTTGAATTCTTGCTTCTCAATATTTGATTTCGAGATTTCTGTTTTTTTGGCTTTGGGATTTGGGAACGATGGAGGGTTTTTTTTTAGAGAGAATTTGGATTTGGAAACGCGACGAGATTGCGGGAAGGGGAAGAAGTGGGATGTCTGTTCAGTTTTCATGCCTTTTCATTGTTTTTCCCTCCTAATCCACGTGTTTCGGCACGTGGAATTTTTATTTTTTTTTTCCGTTTATTTTTCGTCCTCCACTTGTAAATAAGGTCGCCAGTGTGGAAAATCCGGCTCCACGTAGGCTTAAATAGCCATTAATTTTCATCATGTGCGTGTTTTCGGCCAATTAACGGGTTTCCGGCGAGTCGGGGACGAATCTACAACCTTTTTTTAAAGTTAGAGGACGAAACTCAAATTGGCTATTCGAAGAGGACTAAATTGTTCAGAGGGGTAAACTTACAGGACGAAAAATGCACTTCTCTTTATTTTATTTATGAATTAGTTGAGCATATTAGTTGTGATGGGGTGTTAATTTGATTACTTTTATCAAAAGAGGGTGGAAGTTGGCCCCTAAAATCAACTATATAAGGAACATTCAGCCATTAAGAGATCACACCAAGCAAGAAAACCGTGAGTGAGAGAGCAAAGCCGAGAGGTGTTTTGCCGAAGAAGTCAAGGAAAAACTTTCGATTTTTATGGTCCAAGCAAGGAAGAGGTAATGAGTATTTCAATATTTTTTTTAGCTTAATCATGATATGTTAAAGATGATTAAAGTATGAATATTGAAAAGAGCTCGGAAATAAGTCGGTTTTGGAAATTAAGTTCAAATAAGTTATATTTTCAAAAGTTGAGATGTACGCATGATAAGGATGAAGTTAAGGCTACAAAAATCCTAAAATATCGTGTTGAGCATGGAGTTAAATTTTTAGGATTTTTAGAGAAAGTTTACTTATAAAATTTGAAATCAGACGTTTCACACGAGTCGTGTGGCCGAAGGAAATATCGGATGTTGCTTACTGATAAGTCAAGAATATCTGTCGATTTGATGGATTAATTTAGGATTTATATTAACTATTTGAGTTTAATTGACACATGTTTGATATTATCTTGTATTTTCGACTGGAAACTACATGTGTTTGAATTTTCGTACAGATCTAAGGCTCTTCAGCATGTCAAATGGAAGATTCAACTTTGGAGCAATTGAGAGTTCAATGTTCCTGAGAAGAGAAAATGTTTATAACTACTATCTTAGGCAAACCTTATCTTAACTAAATCCTTATATTGCTAAGGATTTTCTTAAATGACTCGAGACAATTCGACTAGATTTTGAAAATCTCTTTGGTTAATAAAATTTAGCCGAATTAAAACTCTTGGTCACCGAGTTACTTAACTCTTTCTTAACTTCTTCTTATTTACCAAAAACATCTTATTTTATCTCATACTCTTTGTGATAAAATTTTAGCAAACACTAGCATGCATTTTCAAATTGCATAGTCAACTCTATAGACTCCCGGGCTCACCCAACTCGTGTCACTACATTACACGACTCGTGTGAACTTCCAAAATTTTCTCTAAAAAATATAAAATTTTAACTCCATGCTCAACACAATTTTTTTTTTTTAGCCTCAACTTCATCCTTATCATGTTTATATCTCAACTTCCGAAAATATAACTTATTTGAACTTAATTTCCAAAACCGACTTATTTCCGAGCTCTTTTCAATATTCATGCTTTAATCATCTAAACATATCATGATTAAGCTAGGAAAAATATTGAAATACTCATTACCTCTTTCTTGCTCGAACAATAAAAATCAAAAGTTGCTCCTTGATTTTCTCGGCAAAACAGCTCTCGGTTTTGCTTTTCTTTCTCGTCCTCTTTGTTATTCTTAACTTTTTAAATTATTTTTCTCAACTTTATGGAGTGAAATAGACTCTAAAATATGATGTACTTGCTTGAAAGAGATGAGCAATGATGAGGAAAAACTATGGTATTTATAGCGAATGGAGAGGTATTTAAAAATTTATTTTATCACCTAATCTTAGGTGTAAGATACCTTCAGAAAAATGAGCTGAACTTTCAGCTCTAATAATTGTTTAACCACTACTAACAACTCATCAATAATGCTAAGGAATCAAACCATTAAAAATTTGAATCCAAATCATAGTCATGTGCTCTCATGAATAAAATAAAAACTTGAATGAATAAAAAAAACTTTGATTATGATAAACAATAGAAATATAAATTACATATTAATATAAAAAAAACAAGAACCACTAGAAAACAAATTACATAATAACATTTAATTGCAAAATAAAATTATAATACATTAATAAATAAAAAACACAAATTATTTAACATAATAAATACATTTACTAATACACATTATATAAAAAATTACCAATAATACTACATTAGAACACATTAAAATTACCAATAATACTACATTAGAACACATTAAAAAAAAAAAAATATAGCGAGCTATAGTGTTGCGCCAGCATATGTAAACTAGCGCTGAATTCTAGCGCAGACATTATTTTGTGTATCTAGCGCAGAAAGTAAGATGTAGAGATGGACTGGAGTTGATCTAGCACTAGCTGAGCTAATGGATCAACTACAACTATCAGTGTACCCTTAATTTGGTTCTATCTTAACTAGCATCATCATTCAACATCGAGGGAGCTCTCATAGGTTGAAGTCCCAATATTTCACAAATAATTTGTGAATATAATTAGATTATTGCATCCGCATTAACAGGTCCATAATCCCTTGATAATCCAGTCTTTTAATTGGTGTGACATCGATCAAGCACAGTCCACAAAGATCATACAATAAACTGAAGACTGAGAAAGGTCAATATAACATAATTTAAGAAAATATGGTCTTAATACAAAATGTTATTAATCCATTGCGGGAAAGTTCGACGCAATATGAAAATTGTTCCACTTATGGACACAAAACTAGGAAATGAAAAGAACCATTCCTGATGAAGTTTCGACAGATTCACAGATACACCCAAGGTGAAGATCATGATTAAGCTCGCTTAAGCAAAATCACAAGTATGGCCATGACTGCTAATCCCATAAATGATGCCTCCATAACTGTCTCACCATTCAACTTTGCAGTTCCATCAGCATTTACGAATACCCCACTGACACCCTTACCACCAAAGAAACTCGTGAAGTAATCAGACAAGCTATTCATCATATCAATCACAGTGCTCTTTATTCTCTGAAGAAAATCCGTAAACCCGCCCCCAGGCCCAGGTGCTTCACCAGTGCTTTTAGTAGACGAACAATCAGGAAAATCGGAACCATCAACCAACTTCACATTCAAAGTCCCCTCAGATAAAGAACCTTCAAAAGAAAAAACGATACCAATTCTTAACCAAATGCATTGCTTTTGGCAGATGAATGGCAGTCTTATATAATGTATAGAATACTTACATCCTCTCTGTGACTGGAGAAAGTCTTGTAGCTCGTTGTTTTGTAACACGGCATTCCAGACATTCGAATCACAGGCAATAGAAGCAACAACATTCTAGTAAATGCATTAGGTGAAAATTAAAACTCAGATGCCTTATGGGTGATATGGAAGAAAAAAGTCATCATAATGTAGTATCTAGGTAAATCAGAACTCCAAGATGTGCTTCAATCACACAACCGACGAGAAAAAAACTAGTGAAAGTCAACAATAGTTACAGTTCTGTCCAAAAAGACATACATTAACTACCTCGGTAAGAACTGTGGAAATGAGTGTACATCAAATTACATGTCTACATTCAAGTTACAAAAGTTTCCCACCACTTCAGGCTTGATAAGCCATATTAACCTTTGTAAAAGACTTAAGAAAATCAATGTCGGAACCAAATCTCTAGCTTATCCGTATAACTCAATAGACCACAGAGAAGAGCAGTAAGTAGGAGTCAGACCACACCATGGAATTCATACCAAGTTCAGATCCATAAATTTGGACAGTGTAAATAGTGTAGACTTTGGAGTATGACAAGATTCTGTCCCCTTGTCCGAATTGTTATTCCAAAGACCGGCCATAATAACAGAATGAATTACGAATTCCGCAAATTTAGTAGAAATAAATGGTCAAGAAACAGAATATGATATGCAAACTTAAGTCAGAAAATTTTTGTTAACCGTGCATCATCTAAAGAGAAGATATAAACTTGCGCACAGTTTAAAATGCTTCTGAGTAAGCTAAAAACCTGGGCCATAGGGTTCTCATGCAGAAACCTAAATGCCATAATAGCAGGGGCTGGTACAGCAACATCACTGGAAACACAAGCTTTGATCTCGTCTTCCTTTTTGTTTGTTAGAGACATAATACAGTCATTATCTGATCCAACTGAACTCTTGCAGCCGACTGGATTGGGAGACAACAAATAGGCACTGAAATTTTGAAAATTTTGCAATTGTTAGAGGATGCAACATAAGACGACAGTTAGAAGCTAACATTGCTCCTGTCCAGTGGAAGAAAACTTTTTGAAATGACTTCAGCTTTAAAAACAACATTTTTCTAGTAGACATCCCCATTGAGAGTGTAACATGGTCACAAATCAAGCCACACTGATTACTGGACCCCTTTCTTCAAATTTCTACATCTTTCATACTTCTTTTTGTTAACCTAGAACACCAATTTTTGCCAACCCAGAGTAACTACTAGATATATGGCTTTATCATTGCTTTAAGACAATGCTAAATACTAAAGAACTGGGAGGTGACATGAAGCAGTGAACACATAAGTGATGTAAAATCACAAACAATTTGTTGAAACTCTGGCCGGTGAAAATGTCAGCCAAAAATTAGAATGCACTGATGTTCGCCTATTCCAGTACAACTTAGATTTACACAATTACGTGTCACCAAATATCCAGTGTATGTTTGGATACAATGGAGTAAATATTTGACTTAAAATTCCACCTTCTAAGTAAACTAAGAAATATACTAATATGATTGTACAGCAAACGTTTTGATAAATTCAAATCTTGACTCAACAAAATCTAAAACCACATAACTTTGGCATTCTCCAATTGAGCCCGGTGGTAACGGAGCATATTTGTTCACATCAAACAAATGATAAATAAATTTGCAAAATTGTTCGAAATTAAAAAGAGGGACCATCAAAATTACTTCTCAAGTGCGACTGTAAGTTCAGAAGTAGCCTCTTTGGCTTCCTGAAGACTCGGCACACCACCAAAGACAACCCTCGGCAGCGGCTCACCGGCGCTAGGAAGGTCATCCTTCTCTCCGCCGGCGAACACCCAATCGTCGATCCCCGAACAGGGCCTTTGCACTCCTGCCTCCGCCACGAGATTCACGTCCTCCGCCGTCTTCGCCGCAGGAAAAACCGAGCTAGCTTTTCGTGCGGCGGAGACCGGGAAGCGCTCCGCCGCGATTCCACGGATAGGGCCGGTAGTCGCGGCAATTCCAGCCAGCTTCGACGCTGCCCTGAAAGTTCCTCCTCCCATATTTTGGATCGGGTAATTGAAAAAGGAGGATACAAGATAAGAACAAAATACCACGGACAAGAACTTAATCGCAACTTATTCTCTTTCCAAGTTCCGACATTACCGATATGCTATCATTATCCATATTGATGATATATCTTCCTATCTATTTATCTATATTTAAATAAGGCTAGCACAGGAACCAGAACGGGCCGGCAATAGGAACGGGCCCAGTCCAATTCGACTAGAACGGCAGGCATTTATTACTATTATATTTTAAAGGATTGAGGGGAGATAAAAAAAATTAGACTATATGACATATAACAAATTAAAATATCAATCAAGATAGGATATTTTTGGTTGAAAAATAATATTTTAAATTATACTATGCAAATTAAGTTGCCTACGTATTACTTATTTAGAGAATAAAAGTCATCATAGTTCCCTTACTTTACTTACCTTGATAAAAGATGATGACATGATGTCAGGAACGATCTAGTAATCGTAGGTGTAGTCGTACTTGTCATCTTCGGTATTTTCGTTGATTCCACTAGTACTAGTAATATCATCCGGCTTTTCACCATACTCTTCAGTTAGCATGGCCGTTTGTGCCCTTCTTTTGGCTTTCTTCCAGCCACTCAACAATATTTGTGCCCCTCAACTTTGTGACGTCAACCTTGACCGTCGTGCGTCCAAAGTATATGCTCCCTCGCTAAATGCTTATTCAACCACTAAGGTTGAAGTCGGGACAACAAAAATTTCCTTAGCCATCAAACATGGAACATGATAAGTGGTGTTCATTTTACCACACATTTCAGACACAAATGTAAGTGGTGGAACCGGTAGTCTGGGAATCGTGAGTTTGAGATCCAAAGTTAAGAAGTGATCGAATTATTCATATCTAGCCTCTTTGTTTCTTGAATCCTAAAGTTTTTGTAGATACCAAATTAGGCAGCTCATTCATTAAAGTATTGTGCCAATTTTTGAAGATAATGGGAATAAGAAGAAGAAGAAGAAGAAGAAGAAGAAGAAGAACAACCAGAAGAAAATGATGGCACTTCCTCGAGTTCGATTGTTGTTTCCTTAAACAAGTCATACTATAAAATTTTTGCTTGCTCGAGGAGCAGCCATGTGTTAGGTTGTTTAGTGACAAGAATAACATCCATGGGAAGTGGGAATTGGTACATAAGTTCATAATATGTGGCCAGAGTGGCAACCTACAAGCAGAGGATGCGTATGGCTCATGGCAAGAAGGTGAAAATGTTGAGATCTATGAGGATCTCGTTATGTACAAATCAAGAATTCAATAGCAAACATAAACCTATGTGCAGCGGATCTAAAGGTTTGACGTAGAGAACTTACAGCTTAAAATTTATGGCGATCTGGCTGATCTTCTGGATGGTCGTATACAACACACGAACAGAACTGGATCACACGAACGAATCGAACCGGGTCGGGTCATGTGGATCGGTCGGGTCGCGTGTGTCGGATCGCCGGGTCACGGGGATGGCGCGTTGCGGATCGCTGGTAGAGCATCGCTGGTTCGGCTTGTGCGGCGTGATCCTCGGATGGTCGCGGCGGCTTCACGGCGGATCTGGCTCGTCGGGTCAGCGGTCCGGCGGGTCGGGCTCGTCGTGGGTTGTCGACTTCTGTAGAAGATTATCGGGTCTCGGTTACCTATGGACCTTCTACTGTATTACTCAAACACCCCTCTTCAACTTGTACCAGTGGAGAAACAAGAAGAAGATAAAGCTCGAATGAGAACTAAGAGAGAAATGAGAGGCGCGTGGGGCTCGTGAATTATTACAGATTGGCTCTCT